ATTCTAGGGTGCTGGGATGAATTTTATAGCTTGAGATTGGTCCTTGTAAGTTGTTGAGTCATTTTATTCAAGGGGAGTAACAAGTTCACCAGAGAATGAAATTAGAGCTCTGTAATTTTCTACTTTCTCTAAAGTAGAAAAGAAATGTGCCCCTTGTGGGAACCGAAGAAGTGGTAGCGAAAGAAGCGAGAGTAGACCGGAGGAAAGATGGTGGTTAAGAATATCAGATGCAGCTGGAGGTGGTGGTGCACGCCTTTAATCCCAGCACTAAGGAGGCAGAGGCTGGTGGATCTCTGTGAGTTCGAGACCAGCCTGGCCTACATAGTAAGTTCCAGGCCAGCTGAGGTTACAGGGAGACCCTGTCTCAAAAAGACCAAAATAAGAAAAAAGAGAGAGAAAAAAAAGAATATCAGATGCTTCAAAGATATTAAAAAGGATGAAGACTTGGAAAGGGCCCACTGCATTAAATTACACCATTAGTGAGCACAATGGTGAGTTCAGAAGCTTTGGGAGACAGCAGTTCTAAGGACAGAGTAGGAAAGTTATGGAAGACAGCTAACCATGAAGTGTGGCAGCATCTGGAAAGGACAGGTGTTCCAAAAGGGTAGCCAGACCACAGCAGGGCTTTTAAGATGGAACTGTCACTGGCAAAAGGGACAGGTCCAGAGGTATATAAACAAACTTCAATACATTGAGCTACTACCTTGGCTAGAAAGAGAGAATGAGGGAAGCATTACCTTGAAATGACAAAACAGAGCATTTGGCAAGAGATGAGAGCAAACTGAGAAATAAAATAGCCATCAGCTTCAGAGGGCTGGGCAACGTCAACATTCCACACTGGTCCTCAGGTCTTTCAGTCAGAAGCTGTAGGGGCTTGACCCAGGGTTACCCTGGCTTGGTCTGCTGCCTGCCTAGGTCTGCCCTACCTACTTTTTTTATGCTATTCTCAAACTCCCCTATCCCTTAACTTCACCATCTGCTTGACTAACATAGGTAGATGAGGAGGCAGGATGCCCTGAGGAGGGACTTGCCCTACTATCATACATATGAGAAAGAAAGCTCTGTTTTCCAGGGTAGTGACTATTTGGGGAGGAGGAGGCAGAGAAAGGAGAAGCAAAGGCAGACAATCAGAGAGAAGATGGGAAGTTAGATTTCTACAGTACAAAGCACTCAAACAAAACCAAAACAAACCCCCTAACACCTAAATTATAAAATTCATAATGCAATATAGAAAAATCTTAGGTTTTTGGCCTTATAATAAAACTCATTCAAAGATTAAACTGCTTGCTGAAAAAGTAAATAGAAAATAAGCAAACAATCAATCTGTTCCTCAGGCACAGTCCCCCTTTCTCTGAGTAGCTGAGACACTGGTGAAGGGCTGGATGGCTTCTTACAGTCTCTGAGCCAAGAGCCCCAGGGAGAACATCCTCACTTCCCACCTGCCCATGACTCTGTTAAGCTGCCTCTCTGGCTTCCTTCCCTCAGACTTATAGAAACTGGGGCCCTCCAAGAACCTTTTCTTAATCTATACCACCCTACCTCTCTGGGGCCCAGGCCTGCCTGGCAGCCAGTCTGTCTGCTGCGGCTGCCCATTGTCCTCTGGAAAGGGTATCAGTTTCTAATCTCCCAGAGAAGCCTCTCTCTGTCATCTAAACACTCAGGGGAATGAGAGCAGCCCCACAAGTGAAGAAAGATGTGAATGATAGCTTCAACCCTGAAGGGCACATTCAGTTGGATAAATAAGAATCTTAGGGTCTTTGGCTTTTGAAAAGGCCAAGGAAAAATCAAAATAAGGCGAAGGGCAGGCCAGCGTCCACCCCTCATTCCATTTTCATCCTTGGCTCTAAATATCCTTTTGGTTTTTCTCTGGTGTCATGTTTGATCTCAGGGCTTTCCCCTCTCTTTCTTATGTGAGTCCCTTCCTTTTAGATTTTATAGGCACATGCAATATTTATGTAGCAGTGACCTTTCAAAGAAGTTTTAGAGATTGTCTGTTTACATTTAAGAACTTTCTTTAAGGTTTACAAAGTCCTTTGTGCTTTTTCCAGGAAAGGCACTCAGTAAGAACCAAAACAAACAAGTGAACAACTCAAATCCGATTGGAGCCAAATCTCTTAGGAGAGTAAGGGGGGAAAGTCAGCATTTGTTTTGTTGTTTCCCTTCCCTCCCCCAACCCAGGCAAGTATTCAAGCCCTCCTACTTCAGGCTTGGTCCTGGAGAGCTTGTGGGCTGTTTGTAGCTGAATTCTAAGCCCTGTGTTAGGGAAATCTTGACACTGGGAGATTTTGCAAGGAACATATCAAAAATTAGTAAAAATCCATGAAAACGGTGTTTGCTTCATCAAGCCTCATGTCAGTATATCTTACATTTATGCCTTTGATCATGGAGGATGAAGAAATATTATTGCCCTGGTCCACTTTTGATTGTCCCTCCCAGGAGGGGGCCTACAGCCCCCGGTTTGTGACTACAATCCCAGTCAGCCTCTCCAAGCTTTCTGAGAAGTCAGGGGGTGACTGGCTGTCTAGTGCAGACTGACCAAGTGAATCTGTATTTACTTGTTCACTGATCCTTTCCCTGCTCCTTTTGTGTATGAATTACTTCGTAAAACCATTATGGGTTGGTGAAAACAAGGACTTTATTTAGAGTTGAAAAATCTTATATTCACATTTAAGCTCTACCAGTTATTAAGCCTTTGATGTTGACCAAGATGCTTAATCTGGTTAGGTCTTGGTTACCTTGGTTATACAGCAACAACAATAATATCTGCCTTATGTAATACCTATGAAGGTTAAACCTGATAATGGATGTAAAGGTTCCTGGTATGTAGTTCTTGATAATTTATATTAATATGTATTGGCATTCTCTATGTCACAAAAGTCTCTGAGTTCTTCATTTGAAAAGCTGTCAATACAAAGCTTCATGCCTGAAAATATTGTGTATTACAAGCAAACCTCCACTAAGAATGGAATTGAGGTAACAAGCAATGCTAATCTACAAATGGGAATTTTCCAGAATGGACGTCACTTTCCCAGGACTCCTGGCACAGCAGTCAAGACCCTCTCTCCAGTATAGTGGCATGCTGTGATTATTGTAACCTACTGATCTAGGTCCCTCCACCTAGACAGCCTAAGTTTTCCTAACAAATAATGGGGAAAGCTGCTTTGTGCAGCAGTGACCGTTGCACTAGAATCCTAAAGGCAGAAAATATGGAGAGGAGCTTGCAAAACTGAATCAATGTTTCTCTGAGGATGTGCAATAATACACTCCCTTTTCTGTTAGTTTTGTAGTATTATTAAGTAATAAGAATTGAGTATGGAATAGCATAAATGCTAACTGTATGCACATCAGCAAGCCAGAAGCTAGGCTGTCAAAAGCGCTGGTCCTCTACCTTGCCATCCACCAGTCCACACTGCAGGAACTGATGACCTTCAGGGTGTGCATTATTTTTTTAAATGGTAGAAATCCACATTTAGCTAGAGAACAGTGGTTTTTCTTAAGACAGAATATTTAAAAATTAATTTTTAGACATAAAGAACCTGAAAACTGGACTGGAGAGCCTGCTCAGTGGCTCAGAGCACTGGCTACTTTTGCAGAGTTACCCGGGCTCCGTTCCCAGCATGCACATGGCAGCTAAGAATTGTCTGTAACTCCAGTTCCAGGGGATTCAATGTCCTTTTCTAGGCTTTGTGGGCATTGCATGCACGTGGTGCACTTACATACATATAGGCAAAACACTCATACACATAAAATAGAAATAATTAAATTTTTTTTTAAAGAACATGAAAACTTCACCAACAAATATGACTTCATAACAACAAATGTGTTTTGAAGACTTTTTAAATGAGGAAGTCTAAAACATCAAGGAAAGTAAAATATATGAGGGGTGACTGTTCAGTAATTCCATTTTAGGTAAGTAAGAAATGAGTGCCGGGAGTGGTAGTGCACGCCTTTATTCTCAGTACTTAGGAGGCAGAGGCAGGAAGATCTCTGTGAATTCAAGGCCAGCCTGGTCCACATAGTGAGTTCCAGGCCAGGTGGGGCTACAGGGAGACCCTGTCTCAAAAAGATAAAAAGAAAAAAACAAAAAAGGAATGAGTTACAGTATGAAGACTTTTTTTCTTAAAATTTTATTATGAAGGTCAACAGCATAGAGGGAAGTTAAATATTTGTTGAATGAATGATCCTCTGGAGTTGGAACAAGATGAAAAGCTAAGCATTTGGAAACAAAAATCCTTAATTATTTAAAAAAATCTCTTTGCAGAAGGGTCCAGGACTGAGATGCCTGTCTTTCTGAGAGGAAGCCCTTGTTGGTTACAGCTCTGAATCTAGCATGGGAGCTCCATTCAAAGCAAGGGCAGTGACCCTGGAATCTCCCCAAGATCTCGAGCAACCCATCGTGTTGAAAGATATGGGGCAAACACAACACGAAAAGGGGCTGATCTAGCAGAGGGCGGGGCCTCAGGTGGGCTATCATTAAACAGCATTTCAAGAGTGCTGGAGGGGCCGCCTTTTTAAAAAATACGCTTAAACCAAAGAGAAAGGGATTTAAATTAAGCGTAAAAGGGATTACTTTAAAAAATGGCAGCAACAAAAAGTACATGTCATAAATTACCCTCTTAATCGTTTGAAGTTACACAGTGTAGTATAATAGATTTCTATATTCACATCATGTGCTACAGAAGGGATTTTAAACAGTGAAGTCTATAAACAATGTTAGATGGCTCTCTTTCTTTCTCAGCTTGGTTAAAAGAATTCCTTTCTTTTACATTTTGAAAACCAACTTACACCGTGAGCCCCGAGGCTGGGGAGGAGATTCCTTCTGGCCTCGAAGGCTCTGGGGTAAGGCTGATACCTGACTGAACCTATACTATGGAAGATGCTGAAAGTGAGCTGAGCTGTCTCTGGCAAAGGCAGAGTTGCAGGGTGACCTCTTTCTCCCCTGATGTTAAGCGAGGGAGGGATGCAACACTTTGTTTTCCTGAAGCTCGTGCCCACCTTACCTTGGGTTTGTAAGCATTCAGCATGGACATCTCTACATTTTGGCCTCTGACAGGTTTTGGTTGCCTCTGCACTGGTGGTGATGATGACTTCTGGTTATTTCGGCAGACACAGATGAAGAAGAAGAGGAAAGCAATGGCCAGGGGAATAGCCACACTTGGCACTAGAATGTACAGGATTTCCATTTTATTCTTCTCTTTGGAATCCTTCGAATCTGGGTGCAGGAAAAAACAAAAAAGAACAAGAGTTATACTTGTAAAACAAAAATGTATACTATTACATTGCATAGTTTAAATGATCTATTCTTCTATACACATAAATTCACTGTGAGACAAAAAGAATCTAGTGCTTATTACAATTTGTTTCTATCAAAGCCTCAATATAATTTATTGAAGTTTAAAAGTTTAAAGTTCAAATGTTTAAAAATTGCAGAGGGACATTGTGAAGGGCCGGGATGTGTGTGGGAACCTCTGATGTTGCCTCTCTCCAGAAGCAGACCTGCATTTCTGTAACACCTTAAAAGTTAATTGCCATGTGAATGGACTATATACATTCAAGGGCCTTCATGTGGAGCACGGGGCTCTTCTTCCATTGGCTTCCAGCCCAGGTCAGCTGCCACAGCATGGTGCTCCGGAGCTCAGTCCCTTGCCTTGGGTGTTCAGGCACATGAGCCAGTCCTACATCTTCCAGGGTCAACCTCGCTGCAGAATCCTGATTCCAGTCCCAGAAGGCGCTGTGCTTAGAACATGGTGACCTGAAAGCAGGGTGCCTTCAGTGCTTGATGAGCTGTGTGACCCAAGCCAATCCTTCAGAGCTCTGGGTCTCATTTCTGTCATCTAGAAGTGAACTGAGTGTTTTGGAGGATGCCTACAATTCCCTCCAGCACAGAAGCCCTGTATAACTCGACACTTTTTGGAAGCTCAGAATTCTTCTTGAATGGTTTCATATGAATTCAATAAGTATGAGTGCTAACACTTTGAAGTATATTTTTGAAATCTTATACATCTACTGTACCATTGCTTGGCAAGGAATGTAATATGTGCAGAAGGATATGAGGTATACCGTTTCTTTTTATTAATTTGAGCCTGGCCATTAAAGCCCAAACTTCAGGCATATGTCATCATTAATGAACTATTTGTCTGGTAAAATAAACATAAGAGTTATGGGACGGTAATTAGAGGGGTTACAATAATGAAATATCCTGACCACCAAGATCAGCTATCTTTCTTTAAGAAAACCCAAAGTGTGAACATTATGATTGACACAAAATTCAAAGACGATTATTTACTTTACAGAAGAATTAACATACCTCCATTCAGTTACTCTTCCCCTCCTTCAGTAGGTCAATAAACAAGAGCTACTATGTTCTAGGAACTGGGAGTGCAAAATGAATTACTACATGTTCTCTGCTTTTAAGAAGCTCAAAGTCTTAGAAGGAAATAGAGAAAATATTACAATATGCTGTAGTAAATTCTGGCATTGAAGTATGAGGAGACTAACAATAAGATCCCCAAACTTCCTTTCAGTGAGGAGGTTCCTCGGCAGGTGTAAGTGAAAATAGTCTTTACCTTCCTTGGGGCCCTTTTCTTCAGGCCAAACTACTAAGCTGTATTTTGCCTTCTCAAATAAACACATTTAACATGCAACTTTACAAAGGAGCACCCCAAACTGGACGCTGGGAATAGCCTCTGTGTGTTAACACTCCCCAGGGCTCAGGGCGGGGGCGGGGGAGACTTACATCTGGTTATTGAGCATAATAAAAGCAGCAGTTTTACTATTTATTTTTCTACTGGCACAAAGTCATGCTTGCTAGCGTTGTTACTATGAACTGCGTACTTTTCAAAATGAACTCACTTTACCCTGACGACCAACTCCATGAGACAGGTGACATGCATACCCTTATTTTTCATTTATTTATTATTTATGTTTTAATTTTTTTATTTTATGTGTATGAGTGTTAAGCCTGCGTGTATGTAAGTGCACACATGTTGTTCAGTTCCGTGGAGGACAGAAGAGGGTGTCCCTTGGAACTAGAGTTATGGACAGTTGTTAGCTGCCATGTGGGTGCTAGGATTTGAACCTGTGTCTTCTGCAAGAGCAGCCAGTGCTCTTAACTGCTGAGGCATCTCTTCAGCCTCCACATACTCCTATTTTTATAGTGACTCTGAGAACTGCAGCAAGTAGGACAAATGCTGGCCATCTCCTAGTCAGTCTTGCTTCAAGCCTCCAGTTCTAGCAACAGCTCTGCCCTACCAATGATTGAAAAATGCTTGCTTTGTCTCATAGTCGGAACCATGAGGGGAACCTGCAAGGTAGGACACAGCACTGGAGCACTGGGAGACATGCTCCCCAGGTTCCACTGTGATGTGTAAATACTGAGCCCAGGCATTACTGGGGATAATACTAAACATTGCTTGTTTCTTTAGTAATGATTGTGTTCGCAAGTAATGATTGTGAAAGGAATCAGGTGAGTGGAAGAATGTCTACCACTAGGTCGAATATGAACACATGTGAGTGCATGCACACTCATAAACACATAGTATACACGTTAGAGACAATGTGGCAGTGGAAAGGAAATAGAAGGTTTAAAGGGAAAAACTTCTGAATATTGCCTTTGTCATCATCTAAGTCAATTGGAGCCAACACCTAGCCACTCTGAACAAACTCATCCATAAAGTGGAATACCACTGGCTTCACTGAGTTGTAAGCAGTAAACGAGGTAACATGGAAAGTACGTATCCTACTGCCTGTTGCAACTCACTCAGTTTCCCTTACAGAGAAAGGGATTCTGGGATAAAACTTGGGAGCTAGAAACTCCAAATAACCTTAAGCAAGAATAAACAAGAAGCACCCTCTCTGATCTCCACCTCCTCCTGTATTCGACAGGAGTAATAATACCTGCTCTTCCAATCTCACTTGGTTCATGTGAGACTTAAATGGGATCAAGTTCATGAAAGAACCTTGGATAATTGAACATTGCTATTTGGTTTTTGGATGCTATATTATTAACATTATAGAATTTCTTGGTATGGGTGAAGAATCTGCTGTTATTCTTGGATTTTCAGTGAAATCATTATGGGCGTAATGATTACAAAAGGAATGAGGCTAATTTACTACTAACGTAATGCTAGTCATTTTTCCAGCCTAGAATTTTAGTGACAAGAGGAAGTAAGGTCTCACCTGTCTACAAACAAAGGATTCTATTCTGCATTCACTCCCTATCAGATTATGCATGGAAGGCCTTTTATTGTAAATGGGCAGTCTGGGGGAAATTCTCCCAAGGGTCTCCTGGGGAACAATCTTCAAGAGGCTAAATCCTTTTAACACATCAGACTTGGCTCCTCTGCTTACACGGAGGATGCAGAAGAACACAGTGGGTGCGGAGTCTTCTTGACAAGTGAAACAGTTCCACAGGACAAGAGATGGTCATGTTGGAAGTGACAGGAGAGAAGTTCAAGCTATTCTAAGACTTCAATACAAGGCCATCCCTCCCCGCATACCACTCTCTGTTCTTGGCCAGAGGGGATTCAGTTTCTGTTTCCAACAAACAAACAAAACTTTCAAAAAGATGCTCCATAGAACAATTATCCTTACTCATGAAAATTTACAAAACAAATACATGTCTGGCCATTGAAAACAATTATTTCATTTAACTGCTGTGTGCATCTCTGTGTGTGTGTGTGTGTGCACGTGCGTGTGTGCTGTAGCATGCCTGTGGAAGTCAGAGAACAACTTGAGGAAGTCAGTTATCTCCTTCCATTATGTTAGTCCCAAGGACTGAACTGAGATCATCAGACCTGGTGACAAGTGCCTATCTATACTGGTTGAGCCATCTTGCCGGCCCTCTTCCTAGCCATTAAAAAAAAAAAAATGTTTAAGCATTTCATTCCTTATTTTGACCCAACACTTTGGTGTTGTCTCAATTTACACACAGAGAACTTGAGACTGAGAAATGATAAGTGATGTGTCAAAGCTAGCAGTAGCAGAGTTGGTCTGCCTTCCATACTCCTCTGCTTTCTATATTGTCACTAATAAAAGTGAGCCTACAGTGCACAGGAATGCTTTTCATAATTTAGGATTCCAAGATTCCTTTTCAGTGAGGACTAATATCTATGGGGCTCACACTATGCAAAAACATCACACTGGAACAATGGCCACTTTTCTTAGTGTTTTCTTGAAAGGGTAACAGAAACCTCAAATGCGGTGCAGAGAAAATTGGCTGAAAATTAGAATGGTGAAGATTTTTAATACTTTGGAATAACTTTAAAAGTTAAATGCACTTATTAGTTACATCCAATTATATACTTGAGATTTTTGAAACCAACAATTTAGTCTAGATTACATGATTAATTGCCTTTTAAAAATCAACGGTTCGGTATCAAAGTTCACATCTGACATTCCTGTTTTACTTTTACAATGATATTCAATACTTTGATTAGTTGTTAAATATAATGGAGATAATACCCTTTCTGACCCTGGGGCTTAAAGCAAGATAAATATGATTTCGTATTTAAGAGGGAATTTTGTAAAGCAGAACATTATCTGGGATATGACTGAGTTAAAGCTTCTGATTTTAAATACAGCAAAGGTAGGCAGAAATTTTACAGAACCTTAGAATTTGAAGGAAATGAAGCAAGTCTTAATATTGCCTGAAAAAATTAAAAACTATAAGACAGTAATAACTACTATTTTGACATTTTATTTATTTTTATTTTATGTGTATGAGTGTATTGACTACATATACAAGTGCACCCATGTCATGCAATTCCTATAGAGACCAGAAGAGGGCGTCAGATCCCCTGGAACTGGAGTTAACAGTTTCTCATGAAAGTGGATTCACACTATATATATAGCATTTATATTAGAAAAATGTCCTCCAGGTTTATCATGTACCATGTGATAGGATTTCTTTCTTTTTAAAAACTGAACAACATGCCGTAATATGCCATGTGGGTTCTGGAAACTGAACCCGGGTCCTCTGTAAGAACAGCCAGTGCTCTTAACCCCTGAGCCATCTTTCCAGGCCTTTACCATTTACTATCTGAAAACTAAGGGAGATCTGCACTAGTGATATTTAAAAATATACCTAGAAGCCAAGGGAAAAGGATGGTAATTAGGCCTTCCATTGGCAGCTGTGTGCAGCATACAAGCCTTGACCTGAGGGCGGAAACATGCAGTAGACATCTATTTCCAAATGAGTTCTCTTTTTAAAAC